TGTCTGTCCTCGTCGATCTTGTGCACACACGACTCCCCACGGAACACACGCAGAGTCTTGTCCTGCAAAGGCAACTGGGTCGTACAGGTAGCAAATCGCTTACCTTTTGGGGAAAAAGGTGACACCACGGGATGTTTCCGAACTTGATGGACATTCGAACGGTTCCAGTCCTTGTCAATGCGATACTCTAGGATTGATTATCAAGTAACTGCACTCCTGTCCTGAGAGCCTGTGGCAATCTCTCCAGTGGGCAAAGTGGCGACTGCAACGGCGTGTGCTCCTCAGGTGAAAAAATGTCAAGTTTTCTGAGAACTTGCCTCTTGTGTGCGTGTGTGTTGCCCGAAAGTTGAACGGAGTGATCCAAAATCAACCCCAAAAGTCAAGCTCTACAATGGTCATGAGAAAGCAAGACTGTCCCTGAGTTTGGTATGTGTCCCAATATTCGGTGCCCCCAAAATGGGATTGTTTATGACCAGAAAAAAAAAAAACTCTGGTTTCCAGGGAAAGTCAAATTTGAACCAAGTTTGATTGACCCATACATTTTAGGCGGATTTTCCCCTTATAAACCCCTCATTTTGGGTACCCATATTCTCAGCACCCCCACCGGCATCCAGGGTCAGCAAGCAGGTGCCATTGCTGGTATCCCAAATCTGAAGAAGGCTGGAAGATCGAAAGATCGACCCTAGGGTACCGATAAAATGCTGGAAAACTGATATGGCTATGGACCAATACCTATAGATACAATTTGTTAGGTGATGAACATCCATTTACCAGCTATTTTGATGTTCACTAGGTACCAGGGTTTTGACCCATCCCCATATGGACCCGCAAAAAATGGATGGTTTCGATGGTTTCGAACCCGGGAGTCACGGTTTGCAAATCCAGCTTTGAAATGGTTTGGATTCTTTGGTCTTGGAGGGTTCCATGTTGATTTTCTAGTGGGCAGTTGGGCCGATCATCTTTACTTTCTGCAAAAGCAAAACTCGAACCTTTCGGTGTCATCGTTGAAGGATTCTCTATCTCTTGGAGCTGAATCCAGCCCACCAGACCCATCGACCTTCGCCTTGCCGTCCCACGCTCCAGTCACCACCTGTCAGACATGAAGGGAGCCTCAAGAATCCACCGAAATGTCCCAGAAGATCCGAATTGAGGTGAAAGGTTTACCATGGGTCATTAAATGTCCCCATTGAACATCACCCAACCATTAGGTATATGGTCTATAATGGCTACTATAAGGTGATGTCCAATATACCCAAAATGGGACATTTACCAATCCCTGTTTACATTGATTACATCGATCAAAAATATGCAAAAGTATACGGTAACTACATTTATATAAATGTACGGACTTTTAAATATACAAACTGGTATTTCATACTACCTCCGGAGCCTCGCGGTCTGGCCCCCCCTCCACATATTTAAATGTCGTTACGGTGAAATCCCCCATGGCGTGAAAACACGGCGCGCCTTGGCACCAATTTCTACGATGGAGCACACCGGTCTCAGCCCAAATAGCAACAGAATCCACCAATCAGAGTATATTCGCCGTATTGTTGCTTGCATCTTCATGATTGTTAGTAATTACCACCCATATGTTTTCAAGCTATAATTGAAACCACCAACATCAACAAACCTCTCTGGGCTCATGACCCTTCATGACCTTGGAATTGAATGCCTCAGCCGTGTCACAACGCGCTGTTGCTTTCAAAATTTCATGTTGGACTGTTGGATTCTCTTTCACACCTCAGGAAATTTCAGGTTTTTGGGATTTCTACTGTCTATATTCCAGTCTGTATTCCAGTGGTTTTTTTGTTCACTCCGAGGCTCGAGCAAGGATTGCCCTCGCGATCGCACTTGAAAGCAGTTCTGTCCTCACCCAATCAATCACATGGAAACGAAAAAAAAACGCGGCGTCACAACTCGCAAGTTGACAGCCAGGCGTTTATAACCCAGTTATAGAGGATATGTATATATATATATATATGATATGTATATATATATAGATAGATAGATAGATAGGAGGATATAGACACTTACACTATCCTAATACATCCCATTGTAATAGCTGGGTGTACAATTGTATATGACAGTTTCTCAAAATGTCTTCTCCTGGTTTGGTTGATAAATCGCAATTCCTGGCGTGCCGCTTCTTGTTTGGTCTTTAAAACTATGACTTATCTCAATAGTCTATAATATATATATATATAATTTATACATATCCCATGAAACATCCCCAATCCCCGTGAAATCTTCTCCCTGGGCTCTCCTTGGACCCTGAGTAGAAAAAGCCCTTCTCTGAGTGCGACGCAGCCAAAGTGAACACCTCAGGTCCAAACTGAAATGGTATACCGGTATTACCTGATATGTTTCACATCATTGTGGTAGATTAGTGATTCGTGCTATATGATGGCTATATGATTTCATAATATGGGGGATTATATCTTTTAGGTGATTTGGGGGACACAGAGGTGGATAGATCATGATAGATCTGTATCAAAAGTGCAGAAACCGAGGCTGGTGCAAAGTCCGTGTGCAGTTTGAGCTTCTTCTCCAGGACAAAGCCTTCTCCCTCGCTTGGTCTCCTCCAAATTATGACCTCAAAAGTGCATGGCATGGATGGCTCAAAAGTTGTCCCAGATTTGCATGGTTCAATGACAAATGATGGCCAATCCTTAGCAGTATGTTTGGACACCCAAGTTTGAGACGTTCCATACGTTCTACATCTCAACCAGGAGACAAGCCTTCGGTGTTTTTTCAACATGTGAAAAAGGTCCCCTGGCCTGCGAATCCAGTCCGCCAGACACCAGCCTTGCATTGCAAATCATCAGAGCAGTAAGAGAATCTGACAAAAAAAATGCCGCAGTCCAAGTCGCAGTCGAACAGTTCCACTCTCCGAAGTTCTTGTTTCTCAAAGATAAAAAGCACCCTACATCCGACAAACCATGGGTTGGTCTGAAAATAGATCATAATTGTCCCTATGAAAATGGCTCTTTGTGGCTATCCGCTGTTTTCAGACAGGCCCATATAGTGCAAAACCACTTGTTGCCACCCAAGCCAGTTCCAAATGTTGATCTCCCGGCAGGTTCACCAATGATAACAGGGGCCACCATTTAACATCCATTTCAATTATCAACCCTTTTAGAATGGATGATATTCCCTGACTAAAACAGAAAAAAAAATCACCATAGGTATCCAAAAAATAACTTGACCCATACTCAAATGCAATGGTTCATCACCATTTTCCCCTATCAAGATAGCACAAATTGGGTCCCCCCATGTCCGTACCGACTTGGGCTTTGCTGAGAATATGGGTACCCAAAAAAATAAGTGGTTGAATTGTTGAATCTCAACTTTTTGACACACCAAAATATCAAAACGCTTGGGTATGTATATCCCATGAAATCCCAATTCATATCCTATTGAAGCCCTTGCGTTCAATGGTTAAATCACCATTAATATCCTTCTCTATCCCCATTGCATCCAATCATTGCCATATTAAAGATCAAGCTTTAAATCATATTAAAACCATTAAATCCTACTATCTCCCTACTAAATCACCATTAAATCACCATTAAATCCCATTAAATCCCATTAAATCACCATTAAATCACCATTAAAATCCCATTAAATCCCATCAAATCACCATTAAATCCTACTAAATCACCATTAAATCATCATAAAATCCATATCTTCCCAAATCAGTTGACCCATCCCCGGGCCACGCAGGAACAGCCAAGCCACGCTCCATCCGACAGCAGGGCCAGGCAGCGCACCTGCGGAAAGGGGCCAGCCGGTGCGCCCGAAAAAGAAATCGCTGGGATTTCAACCAACATCAATGGATATTGATGTTGATACAATACATTCATGTATACTAATGTACATAAATGGATATCAATACACATCCATATATGCAATTATAGAAAATTAATGTACTGGATGTATTACTAATATACATAAATGGGAAAAAATATATATTGATATACAGTAATGATCATTCATGAATCTCCATGCATGTCCATTATCATCATGAATAATGTAGAGAGATATGAGATATGGAGGTTTCTTAAGTCATGGGGAATTCCCAAGTCACCATATGGACCATGGGTTTCAATACTAAAATGGTCTAAATTGGATGATTGGAAAACCTCATATGGTGCCCTGCATCCCTGCATCCGCACCTGACTTTCATGGCCCTGCAACTGCTGCGACAACTCGAATTCCACGTCCATCGAGATCGACCAATGGACCAAGTCTTTTATTCTGAATCCAAAGAAAAAATGGACCCACAAATACGCAATGGTAATAAATATTATAAATGGGCACATTGTTTAAGGTCATAAATCATCCGGTCTTTTTTCGGGAAGAATCTTCTTCAGGAACTGAACTTTTTTGGGGGTCAAGACTCTAAAGGTAAGCAAATCCCTACCTGAACCCCCGTGTACTTCCACGAATTCATGGGCAAAAAATCATCTCTGCTTGGCTCATGCTCGAAGGAGCTGCGGAGATTGATGGCTATTGGTGAGCGATCCAGCTGTACTCCTCGACCAGTATAGAAGGAAAATCAACCAGTTGAACATAAATATATATATACATATATTATCATATATTATGTATCTTATGATACATACATATATATATATACATATATAATCATATATTCTGAGATTGTCTGAGATTATGTGTGTGTGTGTGTTTTCGATTGCATCATGTATATTGGTCTTTAGATGCATTATCTTTCTTCCAGCACCATGTATGGCCTGCTATGTTCAAAGATAGATGCTGATAAACTCACCAATTCGTCATGTTTGATATGCTTGGTATTTAACCAACCAATCTTAGGGGTTAAATCATCGCTTTGGGCCATCACTGCCATGAACGAGATCCTGATGCTTGGATGCTACGACTCAAACAAACGGTTTAACCAGAACTCTAAAACAATGTGTGCCCAAAAGGGTCTGAGATTTTCACCCATACCCACGACCCACACAATCCCGCGTTCTTTTTGAGACGCTCCCGCGTTCTCTTCACTCGGGTGCCATGGATTTTTGTGGCAGCACGGCCACGTGTGAAACGGGTTCAGTGGGTTGTGAAACACACCCAAAAAAGCCCGAAATGGTCAAAAGCAACCGCCCAGTTTCAGAAGTTGTTGTCTTCTGGGTTCTCACCAGATGGTGGATTACCTGGGCATGGCAAAACACCGTGCTGGAGGTGGTTTTACATCTACTATACATACAAATAGACATACGACATCATACAAATATATACATCTACTATGTGTATCTATAATTATATCTATATATAATATGTCCTCACATAGGAAATAGACCAGAAATTCATCCCAACAATCCTGTTGTTTGAAACACCCCGCCTGGAGTCATGGACAGGGGGTCACGTTGCTGCAGGAAGTCCAAGCGCGCCTTAGATCACCAGGCCCCCCCCGGACTGCGTAAGCAGGGAGGGAAAGGTCGAAAAAACATGAAAAACCACCAACCAGCCATGGTCGTTCTCCCCTTGCCATACTGATTAACCATGTTTCATGATTGAACCCCAATTTCTGATCTTAACATCACCATGTTTTTTCTGTATTTCCCCGTGTTCGATGGCGTTTTTTCCCTAATTTTCATGTGTGTAATAATCCCCAGAAAGAAGAAGATTTCAAAAAAAGATACAAAAGATTGAAAAGTTAGAACTGCATATGTTTGCAACTTTAATATCTTTAATAGGATGTCACTTTTTTCTTGGTTGGCATAGATTCTTGGCTTCGCCTAAGGAGCTGTTCAACAATTCTTCCCTACGGATTTTATCAGTGGATGCCCATTGGGAAAATGATCATCCAAATCGTTGACCGCGAAACCAAGGATTTGCACGAAATGGGGGGGGGGATCCCATTTTGATATACCCTCTGGCTATTTAACAGTTCGCCATGGAAAGATCCACCATGTTTAATAGGTAAACCATCTATTTCTATGGGCCATCTATACCATGGCTATGTTAGTCATAACCAGAGGGTATATATTTTGATCACGGGATGATTTTCCCCATGGTGCATAATTTTCTTATTTTTTTATGTATCATGGGTGTCAAATTTTGATATATCATGGCTATTCAATACTACATAATACTACGACAGGGTCGCTGAGTTTCTCATGACGACAATTTTTTTTTCCCCATGACTTAGGAAAACACCGGCCCAATAAATCCCATGAAATCCCATGGAAAATCAGCATAGTTTTTCTGCTACCATCTGGTTATTTCACATAGCCATGGAAAATTTCCCATAGAAATAGATGGTTTACCTATTAAAAATGGTGATTTTCCCAAATTTTCCCAGATTTTCCCATATTTTCCCATATTTTCCCATGGAAATCAAGCTCCAGATCCAAGACTTCATCCCAGTCGCCAAGCTCGTACGAGGCTTCCAGCGCACCGGTGGAATCGAGGGCCAACCTGAAAAATCCGGGAAAGCGCGGATGGATGGTGGGGATACATAGCAATTTTTTCATGGTTTCCCATATTATAAAAATATGGTTTTACAGCAATGGCAAACAAATGGTTTATATATAGACATATATATATATAAATCAATTGATATCAATGGGAAACCATTTAATATCTTATATCGATGTATATCGGTCAAATGGTGAACATATATGAAAATAATCCAACCGAATTCACCTACAAGGGGAAAATAGTCTCAATTTAAATTTGGCTGAATTATAGATAATAGATGATAATAGATGAATTCATCGATAATCAACCAGTGAATGGAGTGGGGTACCCTATTCTTAGACAAGCCCATTGGCTGTCTTTTGGGATCATCATCCGCTGGGGACTCGGACTCTGGTGTTCGCTGCTGGGGTTGCCATTTCAACAGCACACGACATCACTACGGCACGGTGAATCCATATCTTCCGCATATTCCACCAAGGCCAAGCTTCTCAATTCGTGGTTGACATCCCCAGAACAAATACATCAAAAAGTTCAAACACACTCACTAAAATCATGGCCTTACCATGGCTATGACATTGTTTTCCCATGGTTTTGCCAGTGTTTTACCAGGGTTGTTGCCATGTTTTGGGGATTTCCTCACCTGGAAGACACCTCCGTTGGGCTCGCTGGGATCCCAGGCTGATGCTGGGCCGACCCCAAATGACCACGTCGCGCACCTGTTTATGGCTGTTTATGGTGGAGCCGTGAGGCGGAAAGAGACGGCCTCACGACCCAGTCTGAAAAATATGAAAGTCAGTTGGGATTATTATTCCCAATATATATATATATATGGAAAAATAAAATTCATGTTACAAACCACCAACCAGTTTATCTTTGACACAACTTCCTTAGTGTAGGTCGAATCAACATCTCCCTATGTTCGTCTTGGATCCCCATGTGACGCCCGCATCTTGGGTGACAAAATTACCGCAGTTTTGCTGGATGTAGACGGGTTGCATATGCGTGTAGTTTGCAACAAATTTCAAAGCGAATCATTGCGGCAATTGCTGATCTTCGCCCCAATATTTGAGAAAAGTATATCGAGATCTATCCCACCATGTCCAGGCTCCCAAGTTTCCTCAGCATCCAAATTCACTCGAAATGGGGGTACAACCGTATCTTAAGCCCTCCCAAAATGTGGCCAAGAACATTTGGGGCGTCCTTTAAAAAAAAAAGTTGGATCATGTTGGATCCCAAAATCATCCAACAACAAAAAAAATTTAAAAACAGGTATAAAATGGTATCCACTTTCAAACTAAGTCATTACCCCGTACTCCCAGATTCTACAGCTATAAGATGGTCATCTTTCCGATTTTTTCCCGGGGAAACCCATGGGAAAGCCATGGGAAACCCATAGGAAACCATCGCCGGGCACCTTGATGCGAATTGGCGCCAATGCGCTCAGGAACCGCCTCGTTGACAAGGCCCAGAAAGCTGTGGCTGGTTGTTGGGGGATTCCGTTTTGGGGGATTCAAAGCAGTTTCAAACCACTTACATTGTTAGATCCAGATATGATCTGATATATGATATATGATAGATGATATATGATATATGATATATGATATATGATATGATATGATATGATCCAGATATTTATAGATATTTTGATGATTCAAATCTTTTTTGAATGACTATCATGATCAACCGGGATTCAAACCAATAAAAATTATAGGATGTCATCATGTCATCCTCAATTTTTAGGATTTAAGCAAAAGCGATGATTTAAAAGAGACCAGGATTTTCAAAACACCAACAACTCTGATTTTCACAGCACGGTTGATTCGAAGTTTCACGGGACTCATTTGGATGGTTTTATTTTTTGGGTCTGCAAGGTATAGCTACTATCAGCTCACAGTTAAGTAACAATTGCGTGCATTTACTCTCCGGCAATCAAACGTGGCAATGGAAAATGTCCGAACTAAATGGAGGTTTATAGCTGGGAAAATCATCCAACTAAACAATGGATTTTTCAGCAAGCCGTGTTGACCAATTGAAAATTCCCAATTTTTTTCGTGGATCTTTCCATCAAAGCCTCCATTTATAACCGGAATTCGCCTAGCCTGGCACTGCGACTCTGTGTGTTTTCAGCATCTGGAGGCCAGCGCGCTCACCACAAGTACAGGATCCCATACACATATATATATATACATATATATATTGCATGGTATATGCAAGTATTGTACATACATAATATATAGATCTAGGTACCGATATATAGAAATATAGAAATATAGAAATCTACAGTTAGTTATAATGTTATAATATATAGTATACACAATAAATAGGAGTCCTGTCGTGGTATTTTCACAAAACATGTTGGGCGATAGGACGCAATTCCATCGCCTTCCACAACGGTACGTCCAAGTTGTTATCTCTGTAAAATCCCCCTGTGAAATCCCAACGAAATCCCCATGAAACTGAATAAAGTCCCAATCTCCGGACCTTGCGAGTCTTTGTCGCTGGATAGCTGCAGGCAGCAAACCTGAAGTCGTGGGTAGGGGAACCGGTAACTGGTATGGTAATCCAGGATTATCTTGGGATTTTAGAGGACTTTAGAAGATGTTTATAGGATTTTATAAGATCTTAATTAGAGGATTTTAGATGCTTTTTTGGGGGAATTAATAGAATTTCAGAGGATTTAATATGAAGCGGATTGAGTGGGATCAAACGAGAGGGTATAGCCTCTGATAATGTGAATCACAGTTTGCTATGAGGCCGTGGTCCATTTAGTTCGAGGATTTATCGTGATTTACCGTAACTTAAAGTGGTGATGTTAGCTAAGTTAATGAATAAACCAGAGCGTAGCAGTAAAGATCCATTTCTTCATGTTCAACAGGCGGCGTCAATCATTGAACAACGGCCGGCTTATTTCATCTTATTTTCATCCGAGCAAAATCCGACATGGGGGTAGATCAAAACCTTCCGTCGATGCCCAAAAATCATATGCCCATCAGGTGAAACGAATCAATGGTTTGAGGCTTCAGGAAAATGGTTCAGGAAAACCCGCCACACTTCATGGGAAACCACATGGTTTCCGGTTTCAATTTTCCCTCAACGAATCCATTGATGCCCAAAAACCACTGTGGGAAGATCTTCCTTGCCCTCCTCTTCCCTGCCAGGTGGTCCACCTCAGATGCAGTGCTATCCAAAAAAACAGGTCCAACAAAAATGTGTCTTTTTGAGTCTGGCCCCCGACATGAAAACTCATTGAGGACCAGCATCCCATGCTTGGATGGAAAGTGGCCAGAAAAGATCTCAGCCACTGAGCCACCAACCAAGGGGTCGCGGCCTAAGCAGTAAAAGAATCAAAGAAATAATATAAAAAAATCATGAAATGGGGACAGGAAACCCTAACAATCATGGGTAGACCGATGGTACACCATCCAACAAAGACTGAAGCACTTGGAGATTTCTCAAAGCTCAGTAGGTTGGTATCGCAAATTCCCCCAAAAAAAATATTAATCTTGGATACATTGTGACGCTGATGTTTAAAAGCTCGGTTTGAAGCTGGGTATATACATACAATATATATATATATACTTAGTATATAATTATATATACCCCCCCCATCTATGGAAAGAAAGTAAACCATTAACCTATATGATCTATATGAAATAGTCTTAAAGGACTCCACCAAGTCTCATCACGAATATTTCTGCACATCGGACTGTAAACTCAGCTCAGACTCGCACTTCTCCGGTCGATCCTCCTGCCAGTGAACGAACAAAATCTCAAAACTGCTTGGTTGGTGCTTCACCTTCAATCCTTTTCAAAAAAGTATGAAAGTCATTGGGGATATCAGCATACAGACTTCTTTCCGGCAAACATCAAGATTTTGAAATGTTGAAACCACCAATCGGTTTCAAACTCTTGCCGCCCTACTTGAACCAAACGTTCTGAAGCTAAGAGTTGTCGAGCCTCTTGACTCATCTGGCTGCCATTCCGGAGGAGGAAGTCATCCACATAGGCAGTGTCATAAGAATAGGAACCTCAAAACATCGAGCTGTGTCCCCATCTTGGCAAAAACATGTTTAAAAAAAAAACATCCATGAATCTAAGCTGAAAAAAGTTGAAACCAACATCAACCAACTCGCTGCCAATTGTTTATTTCAGGACCCAGTACCGATCTCAGGGCGCAACGAGAGAAAGCCTCCTTGGCAAACTGTTCCGTGGCACCTGGCATCGACCAATAGATGATCTAAGTTTGGGAATTGCTTAGTCACGCCGGTGTCATCAAACGTGGCTAGAAAATCCTCGAACTAAATGAAGGGTTTGATAGGAAATCATCTATAAATGGATATAAATGGTGGAGTTTTCATTGCCATGTTTGATTACCAGAGGCATTGAGATTATTATTGGGATGATTCGGGATGATTGTGAGATGGTTATGACAAACAATGCCCTCTGGTAATTGATACAGTTTTAAAATCGCAAATCCTCGAACTAACTAGCTGTAGGCCATGGTTTCTCTCGCAAACTGTTATATAGTTTACTGGAGGATAAATAAACCAAAATGTGTGATGATTATCAGATTATGAAGAAAACAACTCAAATCAACCAATGTCGATACCATCTGGTTATTTAACATAGCCATGGAAAGATCCACCATGCTATTAATAGGTAACCCAACTATTTCTATGGGTCATCTATACCATGGCTATGTTATATAAATAACCATAGGGTAGTCTAGAATATTGATACCCATCAACTCAACACAACTGAGTTGTGTCCAGTTGATGATCACAGCAGCGCTGGACGCAGCATTTTGCCGAGGCGCTGTCCAGGGCAAGATGACAAATGCCACAGAGAAACCAGACCAGACCCATGGCTGTTGCGCAGATCTCCATCTCCTCGCTGATTTCTGCTCCAGCAGGATTCACCCATGACTGCTGAGTTGGGATAGGGGATGGTTCACTGATTTTCTATGAAGATTAGAATGATTACTTAGTATCAAATTGCTTGATTTCCGACTTGGAAAAGCTTGCTGCTTGAATCTGTGAGGAAACAATGTTTTTCAGTAAATCATCAAAAATACATTCAAATACATTTTGCATCATTTTGCATATAAATATTATCAGGATAATACATGCTTATACATATATATAATCTTGCAATTCTGTCCCTCAATTCCAATTCCGGGATATTGGTCACCTCTCAGAGCTCGATGTAGTCTGTATGAGCAGAGACTTCACCAAACTCTTTTCAGCGTAGACGGGCTCGTTTTTTCGAATGCTCAAAAGATGTGGGGTTTTCTGGCAAGCGTTGGATATTGTTGGATATTGTTGGATATTGTTGGACCTAAATAGCACATCTTGAATTTGGGAGCGTTGGATATCGTTGGACCTATCAGTTTGACACCATCACTGACCATCACTCAATATATGTCGAGTCAAAATCTACCAAAAAAATCATGTGAGAACTCACAAATCTCCCAAAATCACCCAAAAAAACTTTGGTCCTAGCCAATGTTCATAATTGAGTATATCCCTATAGATCCTCATTCTATCCCCATTAAATCCGATTCACCATTGTTGTTGACGAAATTCCATGAACTCACCATTTTTTCTTGGTGAAATCCCATGAAATCACCATGTGTTCCATGATTTTCCATGAAGTTCCTCCATCTTTTTCCCATTAAATCACCATGAAATCACCATGAAATCACCATCAAATCTCCTCCATGCGTTCGCAGAGCTTCTCCAGATTCGCCAGCGCCCCGGCGTAGCTCTTGGAGCGTAGCTGACCTGGGCCCCAAGGCCCCAAGGCCCCCTGTTGTGTCCACCTGTTGAGTCATGTTGGATGACCGGAGAGATACAGAAAATGGGGTTATAATAGTATGATATATTATCCACCATAGTATGATTGTAGGTTAGATGTTCAACTATAGTTAGATTCACCACTAATTTGGATTGAGATTCATAAATTATCCAATAGCTAATGATAGCCTCTGGTTATTTAACATAGCCGTGGAAAATCACCATTTTTTATAGGTAAACCATCTATTTCTATGGGCCATCTATACCATGGCGAACTGTTAAATAACCAGAGGGTAACCAACAAGACAAACCAAAAGATTGGATATGACAACATCAGAATTGTAGTAGTGTATTTGGTTTGTAACCCTGGTCACACCCCATTGAGAGCTGGAACATAGGGTAATTGGATGTAATTGGCATTGTCATGAGTGGCAAAGGCGTGATTCCAGCAACGACAATGGCTGGTGGTTTAACTGAAAGTCGTTGAAGATCATCATCCCATGTCTATGCATATCTGAGGATGCTTAAACTGTATGAAAATGTCTGCTGATGAAACAGTCAAATGTCACCCATCGAACAGGTGTATTTCTCTACCCAATCTATGAGCATTATTTTTTTGGAAAAAAAAGTGAAAATAACGAGGGCCATTAAAACTAATGTTGGAACATCTTCATCTATTCGTGATAAAATAGTGTACCCTCTGGTAATTATGGAAAATGGCCCAGTCGAAATAGTGGATTTACCCATTGATAGCATGGTGGTTTTCCATAGTTATGTAATTGTTTACCAGAGGGTAACTTCATTTTTTTGGCATGTCAGGTCCACCCCATCCATGTCACCGCAAAGGCGTCATTTTAAGATGTTTGGGCACAGCGACACAGAGCCAAGTTGAAGGTGCATTCGCATTCAAAGTACGCCAAACCTATGCGGCCTGTCGGGTCTGGACTCCAATGGAGCCCACCAAGGTTGACAACATGTAACATGTCCAGTTGGTGAAAATGTTATATCTATTATTACTTATTCTTATCATGGTTTATGTTTATTTACTATTATGTGTTTTCATTACTATCATTGTTATTATTATGTGTTATCATTATTATTGCTATATATTATTACTATTATTATTATTATTAATTATTATTATTATCATTATTATTATTAGTAGTAGTAGTAGTATTACTATTATTACTGTTAATTATCAATTATTTATTATTATTATTATTCGTATCATTATTTGTTATCATTCTTATTGTTATTATTACTATTACTATTGTCATTATTATTATTGTTGCTATTATTATCATCATTATTGTTACATCATCATTATCATGTCATTACTATCATTGTCATTATTATGAATTATCATTATCATCAGTATGAAACCATTTTATATACAGTACACCAAACATGTCTGTAATGTCATATGTCATATGTATCTGGGCAAATTATAATATCTCACTAACCTGAATAGTTGGCCCATTTGGGGACGACTTCCCGAATCCGAACTATGATTTCCAGGGCTCGGGAGAACAGTGAGGGAGAACGATCTAATTTACCCAGATTAATCAGAAATTCCCATTAAACCCCATTAAACCCCATTAAATCCCATTAAATCACCATTAAATCCTACTAAATCACCATTAAACCCCATTAAATCCCATTAAATCCCATTAAATCCCATTAAATCATCATCAAATCACCCATTAAATCCCATTGCCATTCAGGAAATCTCCGTTTTCGGAGCCTTCTCCAAAGGTCGTCTCTTTGGACGAGTCGCCTTCCGCCTGGACGATGGACTCGGTGGCTGTAACAAGCTATGATATGCTAACATATGATATGTTATGATACATAATAGATGTGCCATTTTATACATATCTCATATATATATAAATATATATATATATGTATGTATATATGTGTAATACTAAATAGATATAATTTGATATAATATGATGTAATATGATATCATATACATAGTGGTTGCCTACAGATATGCACAGTCATAGAAATACAAATGCAGATACACATGCAAATGCGTAGATAGTCAAAGATATAAACAAAATCTCAAATCAGGGTTTGGGTCAAAATTGGAAACCTCAAACGGCCCAAAGATTGGAGCATTCATACCTAAAAATTACCAAATGCTGTGCAAACAAACCAACAAAAGCTGTTTCATCGTAGTAGGGTTCAAATGCCCAGTTCCATACGCAGATCAAAGATGGATGAAAATGGTATGGGAAACCACCGGTCATCCGTGGTCATTGTCCATAATCGCTCAATGGAAAAATACATGAGACAATATCAATACGAGGTGTCGTCATCATCAACGATGGCATTTTATCTGAGGATCAGTTTATCTTCACGATGGTTTTATTTTATAATATAATATAACATAATATAATATAATATAATATAATATAACTATAATATAATATAATATAATATAATAATATAATATAATATAATATAATATAATTTAATATAATATAATATAATATAATATAATATATTTCATAGTGATATCCTGAGGATCACGATGTTGGAGAAACGAAATTCGATCCGTTTAAAAATGCCTTTCCTGGTTCGATCAACCCCTCTCCACGCCTCAAAAAAATGCCCCGCTAACTCCAAAGCCACCGTGAAGTCCTGCAATGGTCAGAATCAGGGGCCCCCTTTGGTCAGCGTTCGTCACATTTGCGTAGGATATTTATCTAACATCATCTAACTAAATATGTGTGTTTATGTGCGCAACTAACTAATAAGCAGATAGAATATGGGATTTTCAAACATATTACCATTTTTTCGGTGATTTGTTGAAATTTCGATATTCTATCTACTCTGGGATGCCTCTATTAATGACTACATACATACATTATATATATATGTGTGTGTGTGTGCATATGCATGTAGGACTATGGGTCGAGTTCACCCTGTTCCCCTGGTCTTCATGGCTAGTTGTTGTCTCTATTCTTCCACCATGCTGTTGTCATAGGTGATTCCCCAGACCTTGAATTACTCCGCAATGGAATCCCAGTTAAATTCTCCTCAAAATATGGGATTCTGCGGAAGATTCAGACCTGATTGAAGATTGCGATCATGGGATTACGATTCATAATCCATCATAATCCCATACAGTAAACGATTGAAGACTGATCTATAAAACCCTCACAATGAAGCCCTCCTGTATCGCAGTGGCATCCCCCAGGTACAGCCTCGCAGCGGGTGGAGACCGGGTGTCAGGTGTGGGGAATTCACTCAGGCACGATTTCATAGGATTTCTATATGTTCTGGTGTCAGTAAAAAAGGTCACCCAAGGGTTTGTTGCATCGCGAATAAAATCCAAATAAATGATGTGATGATTAGTGATTCTTGATGATTTGCTGGTGGTTAAGTCAACAACAAATGATAATAAGTGGTTATCCATCTCAAAACCCCAATGCTTTTGAGAAAATCGGCTTTCCCCATTCTTCCATGGCCATAGATTAGGGACACTCACATTACCCATTTTGAAGCACGCGGCAAAGCCATGGTCACACGGACTTTGGGATGATCGATTTCTGAGCCTCCCACGAGCAAGCGCCTCTGTACACCATCAATTCGTGGGGAAGGAAAATGACCTGAAGCCATCAAGGTCGGACTTGGACTGAATTTCTGGGACTTGGATGTTTCATCCACAACTTGAGGCGGTTTTTGAAGATTGGATCTACCCCAATGGCCATCAAGAAAATGGCAAACATTGTGAGAAAAACCACTGGATTTGAGGGAACCTCTATGGAAAATCACCAAATGAGCAAATCATCTGTAAATGGGCCATGTTCATCCATTTTCCATGGCAAACTGTTAAATTACCAGAGGCTATCCCCAATTTTTTGGGACGCCCCATCTGATGGTTAGCCCAGTGTAGCGGGGATCGTGTCCGAATTTGACTGCGCGGGTTCGCGCGGGTTTGCGCGGGTTTGCGCGGGTTTGCGCGGGTTCGCGCGGGTTCGCGTTGGTTCGCGCGGATTTGCGCGGGTTTGCGCGGGTTCGCGCGGGTTCGCGCGGGTTTGCGCGGGTTTGTGCGGGTTTGCGCGCGTTCGCCCGGGTTCGTGCGGTTTCGCCCGGGTTCGCGCTGGTTTGTGCGGGTTTGATGATGATGATGATTATTATTTTCATGATTATCATGGTTATCATGATGATGAGTCAATGACCACAGCAATCGGTTCCGTTTAATGTCTTACAGGCAATTGCAGAGGCGCAGGTCTGCAAAATTATCACTTATGCCAAAAAACAGTCACTATCCACAAGAGCCTGAGCAAAACCATTCCAGAAGCATTTCTTCTTGATGCTTTGGCACTTTTTGGCTAGCCGGATACACCATTCCTCCGTGAGTACTGAGGGCGGAGGCGATTTTGCCAACTGAATCATTTCCTTCAACCTATCCACCAATGACTTATCATTGAAAAGGTGAAACATGGTTTTGAAGAAGCACACCTGGTCGCAAATAACTGGAATGGTTGAGTCCTTGCCAAGTTGTTACCTCTTTCTCCTGTATCACCATGTGCAAGTATATAGTTTTTTGTAATCATGTTTTTTGGTCTGATTCATTGGTGGAAAGGACTGAATTCTCGTGGCTGTGAGCGGGCGAATTTCCAGCCACTTCGCAGTTCAGAATCATAGTACGAAACCTTGCAGCAACGCTGTCCAGGTCATGGAAGTTTTGGAAACTAGGCACCATCAGGTTTTGTTTGGAAACCAGGTCACATGGTTGTATGGTTACTTTATCTTACCACACCGGTCAAACCCCTGAAGACCTGACCACCGACCACTGCTGCTGGAGTTGCCAGTGCTAGCACCACAGGCAGACATCACAAGGGACACCACAAGCACAAGCACCGCAGACTCGGTCCGTGTCCTCTGTGCTTGTGCTTGTGGTGTCCCTTGTGATGTCTGTGAAGAACCTCAACACGAGTGAACCCTCCTATAGGCCTTGAGATTCGCACTATCTTTGACATTGCTTGCTCAGTTGATATTTATTCATAATGACAATTTCCACAGCTGATGTTTAGAAGAACAAGATATACACACGAGATGAGGGATATGTGATCCCCACTATCCATTTATCCACGTATGTCTTTCCCAAACCAATCCATTGAGCTTCAGCTTCAGCTCAAGCTAGGATCTCCACCTGGCTGCAGCGTAGGCTTAGCTTTGTACAATCGCGATAGGAAGCGTCAGCTTTGGAATGACCAGATTCCAAAGGGATCTCATAGGATCCATGGGGGTAATCGGATAATTGGTATCATGGGTATATCATGGGTATATCATGGTATATCATGGTATATCATGGGATCCATGGGGATAAGTTACATGGATAACTAATATTATATACTAATGGCTGCCAAGGCTTGCTCAGACGCTACGACAGAGTGATGGAAGCCCGACCCGGGATTGTGCTCCATCACGCTCCACCTGTTCCTGGGAAACAATGCAACACATCCATCCATATCAATATCAATTATATATGTGGCATCTAATGCTTCATATACACATATATGATTATATATACATATATATCATTATATAAATATATATATATATGTATTGTCATTATTATGTTTATTCTTCAACGTAACTTCAAAAATCTTCCATACTATTACCTTCTTGAGTTTCTGGGCATCAAACCATGATGTCAATTGCTGTCTTGCAAATTGGGCACTGCTTGTCCAGCACCAAATGCCAGCAGAATGGAATCAGCGGCCTGCAACGAAGCCTCTCCACCTGAGGGAAAGGTGGACATCACCGTGAAAAACACGTGAAACGAATAAAATGATGCTGATGATGATGATGATTTTGATGATGATTATGATGATGATGATGATGATGATGATGCTGGTGGTGGTGGCGGTGGTGGTGGTGGTGATGGGATGGTGGCGGTGATGGTGATGGTGGCGGCGGTGGTGGTGGTGGAAAACGATGAGGACGATGATGATGTGGCGACGACAATGATGACAACGATGACGTCAATGACGATGACGATGAGGGTGAGGATGACGATGAGGACGAGGATGATGGTGGTGGTGGTGGTGTGGTGGTTGGTGGGTGGACTTTTGGACAAGGGCCACAAGTGTAGAGCATTGAGTAGAAACCTGGTGCTCCAGGGATGACAGTGTACAGGCACAACAAAAGATCAAAAAGGACGAGCAAAGACAAAGAGAGTCGCAACACCAACCCTCTTGCGAAGAAAAAGAGCACATCAAGTCATATTAAGTCCCTGGCTGCTGCGGAAGATAATGCTTTGCTCAACAGATCCAACACCCGATAGCTTCATGGGCAGAACCTGTCATGAAGGATAAGCGATTGAGCCTTGCCTAAAAGCAATTCTGTTCTTTCAACAGTGACAAGCACAGAGTTCAGACATACTGCTGGTCATTCGTTGAAGGGAAATTCGCCAGTGTCACCGGCCTTGTTACTGGTGAAGTCAATGGAGAGGCGGTTCTCGAAGCTCGCAGGTGTGTCCGCCTCTATGGAACATGATTTCCCAGGTTCCCAGAGTTTGATCTCACTTGATGTCTAGAAAAAGTCACTTGATGTCCTAGGATATGACAACTTGATGCTAGGCAGCTGATGAGGTCCACACAGCTCGTTGAAAGTTTCCTGCGCTGCAGCATACTCTGAGCGGAGGTAATTGGAAACCTGGAGCAGGAGCTCAAGCTCAAGGTGCTTCAGAGTCAAACAAAGAGCAAACGACGAGGCGGGGTTGTAGGGCCGACAAATTTTTCGTAATCTCCGGCCCGGACAAGAAAAATAAAACGACCCGACAAATAAAGTCGGAATGGTGCCGACGAAAAGGGGCTGTAATTTTTGGGTCTCATATCATTCTCGTGTGCACCTTTTTGAAGAGTTGGCCGCGCCCTGCATCTGCTTTGAGATGGGACGTGCCCGGCATCTGCTCACAACTAGTAGAAGTGGGTCCCAGCTCTCATGGATCATCAGCCTATGATGTGAACCCTGCTTCAACTGTATGCTCGATCAACTGCGACCTGATTGTTAAACAAAACAAACATACGCATCGCAGATAGGAAAAATCACCACATAATTTCCTAAGCTGGCATATGAGCAGATTCCTCGCCCTAATCAGCATATTCCTCGCGTTTGCGCCGACCCTGGAGCATGTTGGTCTGGGCCTGAGTGTTGGTGAGATTCCTCTTACGTGAGGTGTACTTGAAGTCGGCTCTTCCAGGAGTATGCTCATATTTGAGGCTGAAGCCATCCTTTTGCACCAAAAGCCGTTGCTGTTGGGAATGCTTTAGGCAAGCTTCGTTGAAGAGAACGGCAGTGCTAAGGCTTGCTGCTTGTCTTTTGGGCAGATCCAATGAGCAGTTCTCTGCCACTTCCGTCATGCCATCAATGAAGAGACTCATCATAGCGCCTGTGATGGCTGTATCCTGAACAGTTGCCTCAACCCAAGCCCAGCGTTCTGAATCCCAAGACCACAGCTTGATTTTCCCGTCCCCTAAAACTTCTACTTGGGTCAAGCCCGACCAAGTCAGGTGCTTCTTGGTCTTTGTGCGCCAAAATGATGGGCACAGAATGTCAGGGACAATGCCCAGCTGCTGGAAGGCGGTCTGTAATGCTTGGCCGTGCCCAGCATCGCGAGCTTGCAATACCTGGACAACTCTTTGAATGAAGCGGCCAACATGTCCTTCGGCTTGCCGAAGCTCACTCAAAAGCAAATCAGCCATCGGAACTGCTGGCGCAGGCTTGCTTGCTGCGGCTAGCCGATCTTTGATATCAGCTTTGGCCCAGTCAGGTTCTGCGTCGGCCCAAACGCCACGCAACTCATTGCCCACTGCTTCATCGTTGTTCGCAGTTGGCCGTGTATGCTGTTCCTCTTCATGGCTCGCAGTAGCTGGCTCCTGCAGGTGTTTCTCTTCAAAATGCTTGCGCAGACTTTCCACGTTTGAGAAATGAATCGGTTTTCGGCTAGCGTTCTTGCAATGTTTGCAACCCACCCATCCCTGGCTTGTTGGGTGCTCACGGAGACCAAGCACAAAGAGCTGCATGATCTCTCGGGTGCCCAGACCTTGGTACCAGCTTGAGCTTTCGAGAAGCTGAATCAATCCGGTGCACTCATCCGCTGTTGGCAACTCAGTATCCAAAGGCATTACCTCGGCAGCTCCCGTAGATACGGCTGCTGGAGAACTGCTCTGGCCCGTGCTCTCATCCAGCTTGGCTGCAATGGACTGGGCCGTGCCCTGATCCAATTGTGCAGCCTCAGCAGCAGCATTGATCACCTGCACCTGGAGGTCGGAACTCTTGAAGCCATGCTGCCACTTCCATGCCCTGGTGGCAGCAAACAAAGTGGTCCCAGCATACATCATGTGGCCATCAACATGAAACCGGTTGCCTGCTGAGTCTGCAAAATTGTTCATTTTTCTCTCCTTGGTCTCGTGCATCAAGTAGATGGGTCCATACTGACTGCACTGACTCCAACCGGGTTGGGGTTCCCTGCCCAGGTCCTCTGTGAGCAAAGCAAACAGGTGCTTACAGAACCGCATGTACCCCGTTCCAGTCAACTCTTGCGAGGTTGTCTGCATGCAGTGCTTGATGG